AAATCCACAGTGATTCTGTCTACAAGAAAAGCATTAAAACTTACCACCTGGAAACAAGACATCAGTTCTGCCCATTAATCTCAGCATGTAAACACGCTTTTCCCCACTATCATATCTTTTTGGGATGAACATCAGTCCTGTTAGATCATATAACCTCCAAAGCAACCTTGTACTCCTGCCAAATAAGTGTGCTGCTCCCTGTTTCTCCATTTATCCACCTGCATACAACACAGTGAGCCTTTATCCCTTCAGCACTACAAGTAAAGCTTTGCTTTCTTTTGGGAGAAGATGAAGGAAAAGGGAAACCATGACTACATAACTCAAGGGAGGCAAATTTAGTCTTATTTATTACTGTGTTCTAAAAGTGAATTGTTTAAATCAGGCTTCCAAAGCAGATCTCTAAGACTTGTTCTATTTCAGCAGCAGATGAAAACATCCACACTAAGCTTTCCTTCACCTCACAATAGCTCTCACACACATAAATTAGTCTCATAGCTTCACTTGTGTATGCGGACAAGCATGAAGAGCATGCACTTCAGAACTATTGCCTGTGCAGCTTACCAGAAACTTGATGCACTATTGCTGTCCCTCAGGAATGCATTAAGAGAGAGAAGACCAAGTGAGAGAACCTTGGACTGGATGGGTACAGCCTAACACAGGCAATTAGAGATCCTATCTACACCTGAAGGATAACTTCTGAAACACCAAACAGAGGCACAGATGCCTGCGCTGCTGACAGGTAGAGCACAAGCATGCCTGGTGATCTACTAAGCCACTTACTAGAGTAGCAGTCACTGTGCATATGCTCAGGCATGTGGATTCCCATGTGTTTAGGTGCTTCCCTACCACAGCAAGTTGTCAGTTCGCTGTCAGTGTGAACAAACTCTGCCCCACAGAGTAGCTCCAGAGGTTCCACAGTCTTTGCAGACATACACAAACCATCCGATACTCCTTTGGTCTCCTGCCATTCTACACTACAAAAGTAGCCTCGGGTCACAAGAGCTCGCAGCAACAGACCCCAAAATCATTAGCCTACGAAGTGTTTCTGACATGCCCGTTAAACAAGCTTCACATAAGGAAGTATTTCACCTGCAGCTAGAAGAAAAATGTCTGCATGTTAGAAGGAAGAGTCATTCCTCAGTAGGCAACAAGTAGCAAATAGAAGGCTTGCTCCCAACAGCACAGGTGGGAAGAACAGCCTGGCTCCCATCATCGTTATGATGGGGATCATACAACTGAGGCAACAGTTGTTAAACACAAAAGGAGTCACGCACCTTTACGCACTACACAAACCATAGAATGGCCTGGGTTGAAAAGGACCACGATGATCATCTAGTTTCAATCCCCTGCTGTATGCAGGGTTGCCAACCACCAGACCAGGCTGCCCAGAGCCACATTCAGCCTGCCATGTGTGGCATTACTTTAAGGTCTACTGTTTCCTGCATCCAAACTTACCTGCACCAAAAATACAAGTCAAAGCAGTTTAGAGTAATATAATTAATGTAACTTTTTTTGTGACACAGTGCTTGACAAGATAGGTCAACATAATAAATACTTCAGCAGTTTAAAACTTGCACCAAAGGAATAGGATATAACAATGTGGACAGTATGAATGCAGCAAGATAACACAGCTAAAAATGTCTGTAATACACATCCTCAGAGGAATTCTAGGCCACGCAACCAAAACTGGACACAGAAATTCCTTTTCAGAAACACCGGATAACCCAGTAATTACGATGTGGTAACATCATGAATATAACACAGTGGCTACAGCACATCCACGCCAAGCATTACGCAATTCCTTGGTAAGAACATGACGTTCCCTTTAACGCAGGCCAATGACAGCAGGCCAATATAAAATACTACAGTCAATCTAAACTAGTCAGAATTTACTGTTCTTCTGATTAGCAATAATCTGCTCACCTTTATAGACCAAATATACCTCATCCCACACTAACTTGCCCATGTGCATATACTGTAAGGTGTTAAACAAACCCAAACTTCTCTACAGTAAAGCACATTTTAATGTTATATAAGTGTTAGAGAAATAAGGGTGTGGCAAGCACCCAGGAAGAAAGAAGAAAATTGGTTTATCAGTCTGTATCTAAAGCAAACACTTCCCGGTCAGAATAAAGTCTGAGGTAGAAGAAAAGTCTAGAATCCACTTCATTTCTTCTCATACTGCAGCTCAGCTCCACCAAAAATCTCAGTTTACCAAAACCAGTGATTTTTCATAAGGGAAATTTATTAGCATGAAACTATATTGTTCAGAGATAAGCTCAAATAAGCCTATTTGAAAAGCTGAGGCTGTTATGAGCTTCAATCTTTGTGATTGAAGATGTGTGGAAAAGGTATTAGACTGAGAGCTACCACAGTATGCTGACTCTATGATGCCCTGTGGAGGCATAAAAGGAATACGAGTAAGCTGTACGAATGAAGATTACTGAAATTTTCAGATTGCATTAGTGTGTTAAAATAAATATGAGAAGCCTACAACAAACCTTAGCAACCGACAAATAAAGAAACCACATAGTCTTTGGATCAGAAACGGATCTAGAGAACTTGCTGAATTTGAAGTACACAAAAGGCAAAATCTTACTGCTTGAACCTTGACAGTAGATCAAGGCCAACTACAGGACAGACTGCGTTCTCTCACTGCATGAGGTTGGACACTCTGCCCGAATGACCAACTGCTCTAATAAACCGTCCTCCCTTCTACTTTAATCACCTGAAACTGTCAAAACTACGCCAGAACTGAAGGATATGACTTCTTTCTTCCACTCCAGGCCAAAGGCCCTCTCTGAGAGCACCCCCTCAGACCAGGGACAAGGCCTCTACACCTCAGGGCCACGTCCAACTCACAGCACTGATGGCAAGGCTCGCATCAAGGGAAGACACTGTCCCATTCTCCAGCTTTGCAGAAATAGAGTAAATAATAAAAATAAGAAATCACAAGAGCATGCCAACACACACAAGTGTGAGAAGGGGCCTGGAATTGCAGCACAGTGACAGGGGCTTTCTCTGACATGAGCTAAGCTATAGGCCCTGCTCGTGAGTTTCATATTTGAGATCTTCTGTACAGTGTACATGAGCAGCGCTGTGCTCCAGCTAAGGTCAAGGACTAACAGACACCTGGACACCCAGAAGGCAGGAAAAGTTCAATGGCCCCAAACAGTCCAAAGAACACGGAGACATCCAGAAAATAAGCCCACACATTTAACTGACAGCTCAACATAATTTGTTTTTATCAAATATACATCATCAAAACTAACCATTCACAGATAAGTAATTACTTGCTGCCCATCACAGGGAGGCACGTGGATTAAACAGTTGACAACAAGCAATAGCCAGCTCCAGAAGTTCGCTGCAGTTCTGTGAAGTGACAGCTTGCGTTAGCTGCCACCTGTAAGCACTCTGTGGTTACAGCAACGCTGGCAACTTGAAGCAGTTCTTCATTGCACTAACAGACTTGGCCACAACTCTCTGGCTGGAACAGTTACATAATTTCCACCTCGATTTGTACTGATGTAAGGGGCGGCCACTCAATGTCAGAAGTACAAGTACACGGCTGCCTTACGTGCGGAGAACAAGTTGAAAGAAACTTCATGGCTGAAAGCCAAGAGACAACTTATCGCAGCACCCTCCCAGGGTACTCTGGAGCCACGTTGCCATGTCTGCCCAGAACACGATGTCAGCAGTTCACTTTGCAAGATCCACAGAACTGCTACGGACGCCCCGTGGGGTTTTATAAGCTCTCACAGCACACAGAGAAGGCTGCATCCTACCCAACTCACCGGGAGACATGAACCGCCAGCCCAGCTGTTACCGTGTGGCTCGCTATTTGCGTGAAACTCTTCTTACATAAACGGTTTTGTAATCACACATGTAATAGCGTGCACCCCATGTCAACAGGCACTCCGCCGCGGTCTCGGGGCACAGCACGTCCCCGCTCCCGGACCTGTTGCCCGCCCCACCTGTGGCACCGCGCAGCACCGGGGAGCGCCGGGAGAGCAGCGGGGGGGCGCTGAGCCCCACTCCCGTGCCCGCCCACCCGGTACCCGCGGCACCGACCTCTCACCGCGGCGTCACGCTACGCGACCACCGGAATGGAGCCCGGGATAACGCGGAGGGACCGGCCACGTCGAACGGGCCATCGCCCTCCTTGGCCGCCGTGCCGGGAGCCGCCCCCCCGCGCCAGCTCCGCGCACCGGGCCGCCGCCGCCGCCCCCTCCCTCACTCCCTCTTTCCAAATCCAAGGATCGGGGGCAGAGCCGCCGCCCAGCGCCGGCCGCGGGGCGGCACACATCGGGCCCCATCCCACAGCCCTACGGATGGATCCGTCCCGTCCCGCGGCGGCGGGAGAGACTCGGCCGCGGGGTTACGTAACCTCGGCCCGGCGGACCAGGGGGAGCGGGGCAGCCCACCGGGGCCCGCACGGTCGCCGATCGCCCCCCACCAGCCTCCCAGCCCCGCCAAGACGCGGGAAAAGCGCCGCGGGCCCCCAACTCACCGCACGCCTCACGTCCGCCCAGCGCGGCGCAGCCCGGCACCGACTTCATACAGGCAGAAACGTGACCGGGCGTCCGGAGCCCGCCCCTCCCGCGCTGCCATTGGCTGCGGCTACGTGACGCAGACGAAGGACCGGGGCGGGGGCGGGGCGCGCTGCTCCTCCATTGGCTGTGCCGCACGCCGCTCACTTTACATAAGCCTCACGTGTGACACCATGTTTCCACCGCCGGCCGCCACCGCCGCCGAGTCTGCCCCGACGGCCTCCCCTCCCCCTTCCTATCGCCACCACCCCCTTCCTATCGCCACCACCCCCCCTACCTCCTTCTCCCTCTCTTCGCACGGCTCGCGGAGTGCTTACTGCCGCTAGGCAACCCCCCGCCGCGCCGCGCCGCGCCGCTCCTCCTTCAGACCGCGGTTGCCGAGGAGGGCAGAGGTTACATCACGCCCCGGGGGAGGGGGGGGAGCGGCTCCGCCCCGCCCCTCAGAGCCGACCGTGACGTCAGCGCACGTCCTCTGGGCTAGCGCGCGGGGGACCGTTGGCGGTCGCGGCGCGCGCTCGCAGGCTCTGGGGGGCGCGCGACAAGGCTGCCAACAGCCGTTAACGGTCGCGGCGCGCGCTCGGCCCCGCCGAGGAGAGAAGCGCTGGGCGGGCGGCGACAGGCGGCGCGAAGGGGCGGGGCGCGTTGCCTGGGAGCGCCGTACACAGACCCCAAACAGCGCCCGGCCGCGGGGTGCGGGGCTCCGTCACGAGGCGCTCCGCCCGGCCCCACCCCGGGCCTCGAGAAGCGGACGGGCGAGCGAGTTCCGCGCCTCAGAGGGAGCGGGCTGCGGTGCGGAGGCAGCGGCGGGAGGCGCCGGGACGAAGCTCCTTACATAAGCGAGGAGCGCCCGTGTCGCGCACCCCGATTTTGTACGCGCCCCGGGCTTTCGAAACGTGCCGGCTGACAGCGCGGAGCTGCCTTGCTCCTGCTCTTAGCGAGCCTGGAATCACCACAGAAAGCTTTAACGCTAAGAGTCTCTGAGGCGTTCAAGGTACGTCCTGTCCTTGTGGAAAACCAGCCCCAATTACTGTGCAATTATTTCCATTCCAAGCGTAAGAATGAACTTTTCGTGTTTATTCCCCATTAAATCTCCCGACGCTCAGTATTGACGTTGCCCGTCTCACGGTGAAAAGTTCACATATTCCTCGAGCTGGTGGCGCTGAGTTGTGCCCGGGCCCCGCACTGTGGTGCAGGAGGACCTGAGATGTACTGCTGCAGCAGTATTGCCCGCTGCTGGAGGTCCTGCACTTCTGCTCATTAACATTAATGAGTTTATTCCACGTTATGAGCCTTCCTTCCCTTTATCGTCACGCGTGGCGATGAAAAGAAGGTACAGAGGAGATGCCAAAGCTCTGCCAGCTTTGGTGTGTATACAGCAATCGGGTGTAACTGCATGCATGAGGTTGCTCCATGGGAAGTAAGGCAGCAGAGAGCCATCAGGGCTTCCACTATTTATCTACAAAATGAGGTTAATGCTGCTTCCCTCCCTCACTGTGGTGGCTTTAAGGATAAGTCCATTAGGTCCATAGATATTTAAGCAACGGCTATTGCAGAAACAGCTTGTGAGTAAAGTACCCAGCAGTATTTAACTCCTGGAGAGGAGAGGGGGCAGGGAGCGGAAGCATTAGGACAGGATCCCACAACTGGATTTGTTGCAAAGCACAAGTCAGCTTATCAGGATCCCTATTTTAGTTTGCACTCCCCTGAAGTTTCTAATTTAAAGACTAATCCTAATTAGATACGTTGCATTGTTTGGTCAACTTAATGGTGTTAGAGCTTCACATCCAGAACTTCATCATTCCGTTTAAATTATCTTTGTTAGGGATGAATGGATGTACAGTGACATTCTTGGGTTCCATGGGATGCTGGGTTTTTGTCATATGCCCAAACTACCCATCTTGTCTGTGTGCTGAGGGCTACACTTCTAAACATATGTTCTAAGTCAGGCCCAGAGGGCCCTGCCTATCCCAGCAGCTGGATGAGTTCCAGGACAAACAGAACAGAGGCACATCCATCACTGTAGTGCAACACACCAGTTCTAGCAGGAGAACAGTGATTACCATCACCAGAAAAAGCCAGTACCTTTTCTGCCCTAGTATCGACCAGTTGCATTATTTGAGTTCTGCTTATTTTAAAAGGATACAAAACAATTGTTTTGGTCAAGGTAGACGCTCACTGAGAATCAATTTAAAGTTCTATTCTTGCTGCTTTTTGGTATTAGTACAATAAAATATATTTAAAAAAAAAAAGAAAAAATGCCACACACAAGATGGGAAAGCAGTTACTCAAAGAATGGTTGTGCAACTGGAACAAAGTCAGTCCAAAAGTTTTCTACTGTACCTATTTTCTGAAAGTTGGCATCATGTATAAAAATTCAAGTTATTCCAGGCATTACCAGTATAAAATAAGTCAGGTACATGTCTTCTGGAGCAACGAATATTACTAGTGATACAATGGCTCCTCTGCTAAGAAAACAAAAGAAGATGGTTGTAAGTGGCAACAGGACAAAACTCAAAGTGAAATAGTTTAATTTTCAGCTTCCTGTGCTTATTAAGTAGCTGCAGCACAAGGACTTTAGTAGCAGAATAAGTAAAGTAGATTTCCTTGTGTGTACACACAAAAAAATTAGGATTAATCCATATAGAAGTCAAATCCTTTATGTAAGTCCATTTCACCATACAACACCACATCTCTCACTAGCATCGCGTGGGGCACTGTGCTGCTTTAAATTCTACCTGGCTCCTCCATCTAGTTTGGCAAGGCAATTACCTACCTGTGTGAAACGGGAGGGAAGGCAGCAGGCCTTCCTAGTAGGGTCCAGCCATAAGCAGCCAGGTTCGGGCTCTGCAGTTATATTTCAATTGCAGAACAAGCATTACTCAAACTGCACTATTGATACTTCGTTTGCTACTGAATCTCTTCCTTGATTAACATTTTTTTTTGTTGTTTCGGCATAGTGTCTGAATTACCAAAAGATGAATTGCTAGAGCTCAACTTTTTTTTCTTCTTTTCTTAATAGGTTTTACATTAATAAAATGTAATTTAGGAAAACTTCTTGTATGTGAAACTGCCCCCTACCTCCATCACTGCTTAATATTATCAGTACTCCAACCCCCCAAACCTCCACCCCCAAATACTGGACTTTTCCCCAGCATATTTACAAAATAAAAGTTAGAATTTGCTTAGCAATAGTATTTCAGTCAGTTCTGGTGAACAGAGCAACATATTGACAATATCAGCTTTTTTTTTTGGGGGGGGGGAGTTGGAAAAAAAAAAAAAAATCCTTCAACAAGGAGAAAAAAATGCTACCTGTTTGGGGTTACAGCACAGCACTGATGGAACTGTATATTGTTCAGGGGAAAAAAATCACTATTTTGCATCTGGAGCCCACAACTAGTTCTTCATTCCTAAGTCTAATTACTCATCATTTGCAGTGGCACTGAGTTCCATCAATTCTTGCAGAGATCTGGAAAGGCATTTTGCTAATGAGCAAGAGGTGTCACTGTTACTGTCTGTACAGGTGAAAGTTGAGGGAAGACTACTTACCTTCATTATGGTGACTACATGGGTAGGCTTTTCTTGAAGCATTCTCAAGTGTAGGAACAAAGCACAACAAACAGAAAGCTAGCAATATCTACACAATCTTGGAAACTGATTAAAAGTCCTTTGCAAAGATGAACGGCTGTCCCTGGCCAGAAAACTTGAAGAATTCTGGGGAATGTTATTTTTCATTCAGCCCACATTCTGAATGTTTTCTTGTTATTTTTATTCAGTTTCTGTTGACAACAGCAGTGTAATTTTAAGGTTCAACTACCTTGAAAAGTGACACATAAAGGAACATTGCATTGTTCTGATTTAGAAGGGCTGAAAAAACACAAATGGAAGTTGTGTGTCTCATCACCATAACTGTGTGCTGAACCCAAGTCCCTTACACAAATTCAGGCATAAATACAGCTTTGTGGACTCTCAGGTCAGGGTTAAGCTGTAGTGTCTATCAGCAACTCATTTTCAAGTCATTCTCACAGAAGTCTGAAGAAAGCCTGAACTTCAATCCATAGGGCCAGAAAAGTTTTCAAGCTTCCTGTGTAATTCGGAGCTTTACTGTATGGTTTCACAATCTACCTAAGGTGATCGAAGCACCAAAAGGAATGGTAACACCACCTCTACTAAGTTAAAAAGTAGAGATTAAGCAACTGTGCTGTCAACTGGATTGGGAAATTGATTGGACTGAAAAATTCCAGGACAGCAGATTTTGGTTGGGCCATATCACAGCTGCAGGACCACTAAAACCAATAGAATGGAAGTCCAGATTTTGTGTCAGAGCAGAGATTCCAGAACCTATTGATATTAGCTGACAGTATGTGGAATTATGGAGTCAGGCATTTAAAATGAAATGTGCATGTCATTAAACTAACGTAAGAACACTGGTAAGGGATGACAAACAGAAAGTGAATCTTCATAATGTTGGATTTTTATGTCCTCTTCTGCACTGAAAAGAAGCTCCTCCATCAGGCTGGTGTTCGCCATTCAGAGCCACCCATTCAGATGTAAAGACAGCTTTCACACGGTCTCTGAGCTGGTGTAACACTTTGCTTTCATCAAGGGGGGCAGCACTTCTCTTCATGCCCTCCCTGCTAGTACCATGCTACCATATTTATGGTTACATGGTCTTCACCCTCTCTTTTGCCTACACCACTACTCGGCCCCTCAGTGAGACAGAAACCTTTCTGAGTTAGTTTCCACACATCAAGCAACCAAATCTGGTTTCTTGGTGAGTAAATGCAATTCAGAGTCAATTCATGGCATGGACAGGACAAACATGAAACAAACGGGAAAGATCTTTTTAAAGGCAATGAGACAGAAAACATTTCCAGAGTTTTTGCTACCTGAAGCATGCAAATTTCTGGATTAAACACAGGCCAGTGTAGTGCATCTCCTTGAGACAGCTGGATTGCTCCACAAACACCTGAACAGCAGGGCTGTGATCTGGTGCTGTGCCTGCAGAACAGTGTGTAACCCAATCCTGGGCTCCCCACAATGTCTGATTCCTCAAGTGCTCCTTCTATTGATTTAAAAGTACATAGAGTTACTGACTTCCATCACACTTATCATCTCTTTTTTAACTCCAGTAGAGTGAGATGTTATCATTCTTAGCAAAATGAAGCAAGAAATACACCTTCTCTTAATAATAGAATAAGGCTAAAGAGACAAGATCTAGGTACTGGCTTCCCCTCTGGTGAGCATTTATGTAATTTTTATTAAATAGTCATTACGTAAAACATTGGATTATGACTTGGCACAGGATTGGAACTGGGCTCTTTCTTGTTCCCGGATAAGCTTTCAGTAGTTGTGCCATGGGGTTATTCTGCTGCCCTTAGCTGCCAGAAACCTGTGGGTACAATGCTTCTGTGATTTGTTCCAGATCTAAGAAACAGATTATAACATTAACTGATTATAACAGAAACCTTTGTAAGAAATTGGATGCTGAGTAGCAGACTGTTAGAATCTCTTCCATAACTCAACCCAGACGATCAGGTATTCATCCGTTCTAATTTGGTTACTAATCACAGCTCAGTGATTTACAGTTGGTAAAGAAGGAAAAGCCAGATTTTAAATTATAAGGAGCCTATTTCCTCATATTTCTGAAGTGTCTCTTAATTAAAAACACTTCATTTTTAGATTGAGTTTCTCATTACCATTCAACCTCAATTAGTTTTATGGTGTTAGTTCACACGAGACACTTTGAACTCAATGCTGCTGCTACTGAAGTCAATGGAAGCTTGGTTTTGTTTTCAAGAGAGTGTGCATACTAACCTTACTGGTTGTGTTTGCTTCAGAAAGAGAAACTAAATTAGAAAGTTCCGATAAGCCACAAATTAAAAGAGAAAGAGAAATGACAGCTCACTTTGCACTCTTTCACTGATCCATACCACTAAGGACTGAGGGACTGTCACAAATTCTATTGTTCTATTAACTTCTTTTGATTTAAAT